CACTGGCTGAGGAATTCTGGGAGTTGAAGTCCACAAGTCTTAAAGTTGCCAAGGTTGGACACCCCTGGTGTAGAGTCTCCTGCTTGGACTAGATGACTAGATGACCTACAAGGTCCCTTCCAACTCTGCTAATCTGCAATCTGTAATCCTTTCTCACACATACACAAAATGGCTGCCAAAGGTTAGCTAGGAAATCTAGTGTGATCAAACACGATACACTTGTTATGTCCAAAGTTTTCCATTCTCCAGCTTCTTTTTGCTTTCTTCTGTTTCTGGGCAGGTGGATAGTTTCAACCAAATTTATTGAATTTACCAAATGTAATTAATTAAACAAATTTTAAAATATAAAACAGTCCCCATCATGTTGCGTTGCAAAAAATGGCTGTGAAGTTAGAGGCTGCTCAACTCCCATTTTTCTCCCCACCCCTCTTTTTTTTGTACACATTTTTTTTTCTTTTTGTTTTCATTGTTAGGGTTGGATGATCGTTTTTCTGTTTTTCTGTTTTGTATTTTATTCTTGTTGACAAACAAAAATCTGTTGAAATAATAAAAGAATTCTGAACAATTCTGAACAATTGAGGCAGGGATCTTAGAAATGATACATGGGCATCCAAACATCATCTTAATGAATTTATCAACCTAATTTTCTATTTTCCAAGCCCAGCTAAACAAAAGGAATATCCTGGTAACCATGATGTATTATATGTTTTTAACCATCGCCATCTTGTGGTAACTTTGAAATATAATACTGTGGTCTTTGTTCTCTCAATTTTGTATAATCAGCTCACTGTTCATACAAAGTTGTGGCAATATTTTTGATTCAAAAGAAACATGAAACTAACCTGCAAAAAATTCCAGTTTTGAAAGAACTGTGTTCTACCTTTGCAAAGCTTGGTTACAGATCATGCCACACTAAATGCAAGGCTGTATTTCAGTTTCAATTGAAAACCTTCCCGGAATACACACAAAATCTTTGGCAATCTATACTGGCAAAAGATTTTCTTAAGGACAAACCTCCCACCCACACCTCCACTTGTAATTTAAATAAGCAATATAGTTAATCTTTGTATAAACAGTCAAGTAAATTCTAATAAAAGGAAATGGCACCTCTCACCTCTCAAATAGTAGACATTGCTAATTAATTTTTTTAAACTAAAGGAATTTGTTAAAAACTTACATCTTCAAGAAGACAAACAGCAGCAGGATTCCCACCAAAGGGTTGGTTGGTAAATGCATCAATTATGAAAACTGAAATCTGCATTTCTTCCTTACAGAATTTTACAAGGCTTTTTAAAATGGCCCTTTGGAAATTGTTGAGTCTCTCTTCTTGTTATTGCAGAAATATCCAAGTTAATATTAAACTCAGCAAATAGAAAGAAGCAGTAGTCTTTTATCTAAATTGATTTGTCTTCTTTACCTATTTCAGCAACTACACAAAGACTAAGCAATTTGTGGCATTATTATTTACTATGGGATTTGGAAGTTATTTTTGTTAGATTGAGTATGCAGTTGCCAGAACAATTATGATTCTGTAAATTCACTCAGAAGTAAAACCTACTACATTGTTTAACTTTTCCATTACTTTGGTATCTGTAGAATTAATTTTTGCCATTCTTTAAGTGCAAAACACAATTGTGTTGGCATCTGGCAGCACTTTCTACCATTTCAAAGAAACCTGTAAGGACTCAGCTAACAAAAACTAAAATAATTCATATTCCATCCCCAAACAACATTAAGACAGCTACAAAACATTGGAATCAAATATGGGGTTTGAGTCAGAAGATTTTAAAAATTAGCATACAATTGAAGCTAGAGATTTTCCTTTTGGGGTTAATGGATGGAAAGATCTTATGGAATTTTGTTTTTATGTATAAAACAACGTCAAGGCTCCTATATGCACAAAGCTAAAAGGGCTTACAGATACCCACAAAGGAAGAATGGATGGCTGAGCTGATGGAATTGACAGAAATGACGAAACTTTGATTAACGAAGACTTTGACCAATTGTATTTCTACCTAGAAACCACTTTTTGTCTTTTTGCAAGAGACTGGTAGAAATGATTTTTGGATTTGATGATTAGAAATAAGGGATTATAGAAATAATGTTGTGTAGACTATTAGGAACTTTAGAGTCTGAATTTGACATATTTTTTATTTATTTCCAGACAAAGAAAGTTGAAAGCTATTCCTTTTCCATTCTTGTTTTGTTTTGCACTTTTATTTTGCTCTTTTCTGAAATTTTCTTTTTTTCAATTAAGTTTTCCTCTTGCTCTTTTTTTAAAAAATTGAAATTCAAGGAAGGTACATAAAAAACAAACCAAATTCCATTCCCAAATACAGAAAAATACAGGCAGTTGTGGTTTTGTGAATAACCTTTCCCTCCTTTCATCATTGCTTTTTCTCCCCCTGTAACCATTGCCTCCCTAACATTACATTAGCAGCACACATAATTCACCTTTGAGATCCATAATATTCCCATCAGAAACCACATTGAAAAATGTGGATGAGGAACATAATTGTTGGAGGTAAAGAGCATGGAGTACCATTGGCTTCTTGGTTTTTAGCTTTCCCTTAGATTTGCAATCCCAGTTCATCTGCTATGCGAGATTTTATAACAAGAAATGCATGCAAGTTGAAGAAATTTTGTTTCCCCAATATAGACATTGATTGTACACCTATGACAGTGTTAGCAACACTACCTACACTAATATTGCCATGTTGGATTTACAATGTATTGTTTACTTCTGTGTTGTTTGAATATGGTACATATTTTTAAAACTGTTTCTTTTGTACTATAAGATACTATAAAAGGTATAATTATACTCTTTTACTGTGGAATATATATGCAGTCAAAATATATGTTTTCAAGTCTCTACATGTGAGCACGTATCCTACCTGGAAGACCAAGCACCATAATCGAACTTAATTATGACGTGAAATTTTTAATTTAAAATTCATGTTCACTACAAAGCTCCCTATGAAATTGTCAAATTAAAGAAAGGATATGTAATCATAAAAAAGAATTGATACGCTTTGTAATTTAATTCTCGGAATTATCTTCTGATGGTAAACATGAAATAAGACAGATGTTTAAATGTGCATGGGGTGGTAAATGCATACTTAGGATTTTTATTTTTATTCTAAGCTGATCTTGATGTGAAGCAGAGCTCCTAATCATTGAGTTGCATTTCAATAATAAAATGCATACCTTAAAAACGAACACACTTAAGTTTTCTATCATATTGGTAGTCTTCGACTTACAACTGGTCGCTTACCAACCATTTGAAGTTATAACAGACCACTCCAAAGGTAATTACAACCCAGTTCCAAAGTATCAATGGCTGCCCCCCATCCCACTCCACCCGACATGAGACCATATGTCAGGTGTTCAGCAACTGGCCCATATTTATGGCCATTTTCAGCATCCTGCTGTCAAATGATGTTTAATTGTTTTTGCTGAAGATTGGCATTAACTTCCATTTTTCAAGAAAAACGGTTTCCATAGAAAACAACGGGTTTACTTAATGACCATGGGTTCTCTTTACAACCATAGTGTTCCCTTTACAACTACTATGGTCTCTTAACGACCACTGCAAGAATGGTCATAAAATTGGGTCAGTGATGTGAGTGACTCACTTTATGACCATCAGGTCTTATAATCATAATGGTTGTATGCTCCATTATGGTTATATGTCAAAAACTATTTGTAAGTTTGGAACATTGTATGTAAAAGTGATTTACACACCAATTAAGTCCTAATTGCTAAAAGAAAGACATAATGAAATGATATGGCTTCTGAATATATGTGCTATACCATTTGATGATTGATAAATGACATACATACAGATAAATAGAATGGTAAACTTGTCTGGTGACATTTTTTTAACTCTTTCATACACCCGATTGTATCATTTTTATTTGTCTTTATTGAAGGTTTGGAAACTGTAAACATCAAAATATTTAACTTCTCAGAAAATCAAATTGTAACAAAATTAAAACCAAGCAATTATTACAAAAATTAGACTAAACATAAAATATACTGAAACCAATAAGAAAAACAAAGCAAATCTGGGATGTTGTTTTGTGACTCTGTATAATAGAGCAAAATAATTTGCCACTAGTACTTTTATATTGATATTGATAAATAGGAAAATTTGTTCTAGTTCAAAGAATTGATGTGAGAATCAGAATAATAAAGTACTCCACAAGAACACTACATAAGGTATATTCTATGGCTTTTATTCTGCCTACCGTTACCCAAATAGCAGCCCAAAAAAAGGGAACTTAATCTGAGTCTTGAAAAATAGAAGGATTAATTACTTATACTTTTTTTCAGAAAACTGGCACCTCCTTTGTTCAGGAAATCAAAACAGACTTGCAATCATCTCTGTTGGGAGGATTCATTGAAAACAACACAAAAATAAAATCTAAAGAGCTGGTGCCTTACATGCTGGCAACAACAATAAAAGATTGGATGGCATTTTTACTCCTAGATTAGCGTTTCTCAACAGCTGCACCTTTAAGAAGTATGGACTTCAACTCCCATAATTCCACAGATAGCATGGCTAGCTCGAGAATTATGGGAGTTGAAGTCTACGCATCTTTAAAAGTTGCCGGCTTTTAAGAAACACTGCGCTAACGGAACGTTTGTTTTTTAACGCGCTTTCTAACGGAACGGAACGCTTGCTTGATCACCGAGACAAACATCTTAATGCGTGGTACTGCATTCTTTTTTCCTAAGTTGTGCGGAGGCGGGCAACCAACGGAAAACGGACCCACATTGGTTATCGCAGACTGCCGCGGTAGAAGCGTTGCGCATGCGTACCACCCCGCCTTCCTCGTCGACGGTTTCTTCCCCCGCGCGAAGCGTCCCCTCGTTCGCCAGCCATCCCGCCGCGCACGCGCCATTTCCGCCGCTAGGCGACGGGAGTCCTCGCGAGACGCGCGCCTACGACGCCATCCTGTCTGCCTCAGCTGCGTAGCTTGTTAGTCGGCCGTCGGTTAAGCGCTTCCTTGTTCTTTGTGGGGAGTTCCGCGCAGCCGTTTGGGGCCGATCGCCTGGGGAAGTGGGTGAGGTGTTGCCGGTGAGTGGGTGGTGGGAAGCGACCGGGCGGCTTGTCCGGGAGAAAGGAGAGCCGAGGGGGGCGTACCCGCCTTCTCGCTCCTGAGAAACGGGCGAACTCCTCGGGCGGGGGAGGGGGGGTAGAAGAGAGGGAGGGGGGAGGGGAGAAAGGAAAGGGTTAAACGGCGTCGTGCGCACGCGCGCGGGAACGTTCGGCAGGTTTTTTTTTTTTTCCTCTCAGCCGCCATTTTTAACGTGACGGCCACAGCGGGGTTGGGGGCGGCGACGGCGACGCCTCTGGTCCCTTCGGCCTGCTTATAACGGTGTCGCGGTGCCTCTCGCTGGCCGCTGCTTGAAGGGGCGAGGGCGACTCTCGGTAGGGCAAGCCCCGAGCGGAGGGAAGACGGAAGACGGCGAAGCGAGTCCCCAGAGCGTGACAAAAGAAGCGTGTGCGCCTCCGCCATTGATACCCCCTCCTACGCCGAGGACCACCTCTCCGGCGCTACTCCTTCCCGGAGGGCTCGTGCGCCTGCGCGCTGAGGGTTCGGCGTTAGCGGAAGGTTCAAGACCCCGTTGGAAGAGTTGGTTTCTCTTGACAACCCTGAAGCATCGCAGCTCCTCGGAAGTAAGGTGGCTTGGAGTCCGTTGGGACGGACGAGATGGAAACGTGCCGTTGAGGTGGCAGGGCTTGGTCAGAAAATACCGTAGCGCCGAATCTAAAACGGGAAAAGGGACCGTTGAGGCCTCAGTTAGGACTAACGGCGGTGATTCGGGCCTTCCAAGCAATTGAGATTTAAGGTTCAAGAGCGCAAGGTCATGGTGACCAGCGGCCCGGGGGGGGGGGGGGCTTGCCTGCTTTGTGTCTTGTTAATCGGATACAAGGCCCTGCTATTGCTTTGTGAATGGCCATTCAACGAGGGCGTTTGGCTCTGCTCAATCCACTTTTGAGACCAGGAAAAGAAGGAAAAGAGTAGTAACTCCCACCAAGGGCATAGATAGCTGCTGGGGTTGAATGTTGAATGGATTTCAGAAATGGCAGGAGTAAAGTTATACTTAGCTGCTGGGTTCGTTCCAGTAAATCAGGAAAAGGAACTTGAATTTGTCTCTCTCCCTTTAATCACATTGGTGATGTAAGTGAAGAGACACTTCCTTGATTTAGGGCAGAGGTCTCCAAACTTGGCAACTTTAAGACTTGTGGACTTCAACTCTCAGAATTCTCCAGCCAGCATAGAATTCTGAGAGTTGAAGTCCACAAGTCGTAAAGTTGCCAAGTTTGGGGACCCGATTCACAAGTCGTAAAGTTGCCAAGTTTGGGGACCCCTGATTCAAAAGTCATA